ATTATGTCCTCATGCATCATGGAATTATTCGGCTAGAAGAAATGAGGAATCTCAAGTGTGATTCAGAGCAGTGGATGCATTATCGTGATTCAGACCAGCTCTCACATGTAACACCAGTGTTCCCACATGCAGCAGCAGCAACGTTCACCATTCGACCAGAAGAAATGAGCTCCCACATGCAACACCAGTGCATGCACATGCAACACCAGTGCATGCACATGCAACAGCAGCAGCTCCTGCAGCAAAAAATTAACCCTAAAGACGCTGGGAGATTAAGCATGCAATAAATTAACCCTAAAGACTCTAAGAAATCCAATCAATTCATGGTTTCACTGTATATTTCACCCCATTTGGGGAAATAATCGTCTGACTGCATTTTTTTGGGAATTAAACATTCCCAACAGCATTATCTGTGCACTTTTGCCAGTTATTAGGCCATGCCTCTCTCTATATATAGAGTTAAAATATTTTGAAGACACAGTTCCATCTGAATTATTGTACAGCATGTGCTATCATCATACGCATAAACATTACGCAGTGTGTTCGACTAATTCGTGTCGCAAACCTAATTTTAATGGATGAGTCATTTAGCAAGAATTTTTTGTATATATTAAGACTCGAACTTGAGACTTTACTTAAGCGATATAAAATTGCTTACCACTTGAATAAACCCTAATTGGTATAGTGTATTTCCTTTTGAATAAAGTAAAAACATTTATTATTGAATTAAATAAATATTTATATGAATCTATTGAGTGATTTTAGTGGTTAAAGAGTATTATTTTCCTTTGAGACCATGAATTCAAGTAATTACATCCATAGAGTGTGTATATTGTCAATAGTTAAGAAAAATTATGAACTATTCAAAGAAAATTACTATTGAACAAAATAAATATTTATATATTTTTCTATAGTTATGGATAAAAGTGACATGAATCATAAATCAATAACCAAATTTTAAAATTGAAAACTTAATAGAATATTAAATTTTCTTGCCCACATAATATTATATTATTTATAGTATTGATGTATTGTCAATTTTATTAAACCTAACAATATCTTTCCCCAAAAAGGGAAAGTGAATTAAAATATTAAATAAAACAAAGATTAGATTATACTTAAATTGCAAAATTCCAAGAGATTAGCATCTAATCATTTTATCCCCTATAAATCATGCCCTATCAAACCTTTTGTTTTTCCTACATTACATTGAAAACAATACTAAAAGAGGCTATAATAACAAATTAACGATTTTAATTATTTCAACGAACTCAATAATAAAAGAGTGTGTTATTCTTTTTAGAAGTCTAAGATTTGAATAGTTTTTTTTATTAAGTTAAGGTAATTACAAAGTAGTATATGTTCTAAATACTCTCAAAACTCAATCACCCTTGCAGTAGCTGGTGTTCGAACATGTGACCTCTAGGAATAACAACATTTCCTTTAATCACTAAAGTAAATTGATTCATGTAAAATTCAAATAATTACATTTTAGAATATATATATATTGTCAGTAGCTAAAAAAACAAATACTTGTAAACTAATACTTATATGATTGAATGTATCTTTGTAAAATCATCTTGTATATGTCTGTGTTACTAAAATAAATATATATTGTTGATTTATTTTGCTTAAGATGTTTTAAATAATATGTATATTCTCATATGAGATGTTAGTTTTTAATGGTTTAGAATTTATTTTAAGACAATATATGTTTCGAACCTTTTTTAACATATTGATAATATATATATATATTTCTAACATAAATATTTAAATTTGAGTCCGAAAAACAATATACTCGAGGATTGATAGAGGGCCTGGAAGGGGCAGTCACAATATTCGAGTCCAAAGGCTTTTCCTTTAAAGGTTTTGGAAAACAGAATCCATGGAAGTTTATGATCCCAAAAACCCAGAATTCCAAAGAAGAATTATTAAAGAAAACAGTTGTTAATCCTTCTAACAGCTTATCATCTCCCCATTAAAAAGAAAAAAGAAGTTGATTATGATGATAATCATGATTAAGACGAAGAAGAGTCACTAGTTCCAAGATGAACAGTGTCAAAGTGCTGGTTCAGATTCTGACCATTGTTGCTGTAAACGTCGTCTTCATGGCTGACTCCACTATCAATGTTGTTTCCAGATTCTCCTCCATTAATGGCTTCACATTTCTTACCACAAGTGTTCTTATTGTTATGCATCCAAACTTTCAAAACCCTTCTATCAACCCCAACTTCATTACACAACTCTTGGATTGCTTCTTTGTCTCTTTTCTGAATCTTCCACCCAATTCTCTCCTCAAATTCCAGCATTTTATCTTTCTGAAACTGAGTGAACTTTGTTCTGAATCGTTTTCTCGAGTTCGAACCCTGATTTGTGGTGTTATTTTGATGGTGGTTGTCCAATGCACCGGTGAGCATGCCGGAGAGAGCTAAAAGCATATGGGGAGCTGAAGGGTAGTAATAAGATGATGAGATCGGTGGAGGGGAAGCTGAGGGAGGTGGTGGTGGATGGTTGTGGTGGTGAGGTTGGTATTCTATCGTGGCTGTTGTTGTGGGTGGTGGGTCTTTGGGTTCTCGGCGGTGGAAGTTACGGTGACAGCCACAAGTGGCGCACTTAAGGGAGGTTGGGGGAGGAATAAATTCGCCGCAGCCGTCTAAAGCATGGCCACCCAAATTGGCTGCATAGTTCTTGAGACATTCTTTGTAGGTCACCACTGTAGGCAATGCTTGGTGATGGTGGTAGTGGTGGTGGTGGCGCTTGAGGACGCCGTTGGTGAAAGGTTTGGATTGGTGGTGGGTTGGATCCGGGTTGGGGTTTCGGTGTCCGGTCGGGTGATTTGGGTGCTGGGGTGCTTGTGTGAGCTACTTCCATGGCTTTTAACTAGAGTTCTAATATGCTTAGAAAATGAAGGAAAGAAAGGAAACGGCCGCGCTTCTGGCCGCGGCGGCGGTGTTGGTGGTGGTGAAGGAGGAGGATACGTTTTTAACTAGAGTTCTAATCCATGGTTAAGTTGTTGACCCCTTTAGGGTTAACTATATTTTTGTAATTAATAAAATAAAATAATTATTTAATACATTATTCCTATTTTTTTTAAAAAATATAAATATATATAGTCTAAGAGAAGAAAATATAATGTATAAAATCAAACTCTAAATATAAATGTAATTAACAAAAAGAGTGAGAATTTGAGTTCCTCAAGGCTTAGCTACAGGAAAGAGATTGACATTACACATATAAAATGATTAAATAAATTGTATTTTTAAAGAGATATTAGATTTGAAATTTAAAGATAATATTGTTAAAAGAAATAGTATTAGAGAATAAATTTATTATCGAATCGTTAATATTTGAATGACGGAATAATTTAATGTTGATGTGGAAGTCAAATATATTTTCTATTTCATTTTCATTTGTTCACGAAAATTAGAGTATTCTTTTTCATTTATTTTCGGTTGCCATTAGAAAACTTTAATTTTCATACATTTTTTTTGGCCATCTTAGATTCAGATGAATTAATCTCAGTGTCCTTTATTTATTTATCGGTTTAGATTTTTCTAAAGCCTCTTTATACTTGATGAAATTATATACAAAAATCTATCATTTGGGGATGGGTTTGAGAATTTTCTCGCATTCAAGATGTTTGTTTGAAAATTCGAATGGTAAGAAATATTTTTTAAAAAAATACGAACAACATAACTCGAAATTAGTCTTGTCGGACGATCATCAGAGCAAAATGAAGCTAACTTTTAGATAAATTTTCTTCGATTTGAGTGAGTTTTATAGAAAAACAATCCGAGAAGAAGAATACCAATGAAATTTGAACGATTGTATTGATATTTCCACGAATGGCGATCGATGACAATTAATTGGCAGTGACAATCAGAGAATTGAAGATTTTCTACAGGAAAAATGGGAAAGTGACACATCATCACACGGTTAATGATTTAATGGTCTAGTGAAAAAAAAGTAATTACAAAGGTTTAATACTAAAATAAAAAATTAAAGTTTAGTGATTAGATATACAAAATAAAACTAAATGACTGATGAGATAATTTACCCTAATATTAAGAAGAGATAATAGAAATAGTCATAGTTGGAGTGACGATGTTGTTATATATTGATAACAAAATTCAAAGATTCCAATATTGTTAGCTCTTTTCTCTTACTGAAATTCGTAATAAGAAAAAAATCCAATTATTGAAAATAATAGATAAAAGGAATATTGTATTGAATGTTAACATAGTTTAATTATAGTACTTAAATTCTTATAATATTGTAACAATTATGATTGAGATGATGAAACAATGATATAACACCATACGTACCTAAAAGACCTAGGCAGAACATTCTTAGGGACAAAAGTCACATGAATTACTTAGTAGTGTTCTTCATCATCTACTTTTTTTATTCATTTGTTTATTTGTTGGTTATAGACAAGAACAGATGTAAGAATTATGTTATGGAACGGATTTTTAAAATTTTACGACAGTTAAAAATAAATCATCAATTGAAAATACATATTATTTTGAAATTTTAAGGGAAACGACTACCCCACCTCCCCCTTTGATCCATCCCTGATGGTAGGTTTTGATTCTTTTGGACAGTCTTACTCTACTCTCTTGTCAAATCTATGTCTTACATACAAGGTTGCCTTCCAAACTCTATACGTAACATTTCAAAATCCGGGTCAATATTTGAATATTGATGAGAAATAAGTTACTCCGAGTGGCAGATGTAGTTGAGTCCTTGAGTCATGATTTGGGTTGAAGTGTGGAAGTGTAAGGCTCATCCATGGTTAAAAGGAGACTTTTTTTTTCTAATCAAAATCAAGAGTGAGAATTTGGGAGACAATTTCTCCTCTTATGAAAATCATGCTAGCACAAGTCTTTAATGTAAAGTCGATGTAATAATGTAAATGCCATGCATGTATTTTGTGAATGTTTGATGCGAAGATGCTTGTTCAAGAGAAAATGTATGTCGATGATGCAGATGCTGCTCGGTGACAATGTAAAGATACGTGATGAGTCTTCATTCTCGGATTCATCTTGATCTTTCTGGTTTCATGTCTAATAAGTCGCTGAAAAATTATATAACCATCTGATATTGGCCTAATATACACTGATGCGATCATCACATAGGCAGGCTTGTAGTATTTGATGAGAACAAGAACAATTATTCTCTGTGGCCTCTTTAATCCTCTTCTATTATTCATGCTCGTCATCCAATATAGTCGGATAAAACTTAAGTGAGATCTATGATTTCAGGAGAAAACTTGGAAATTCTTCTTCTTTTGATGCATGGCCTTACTCTATAGCTGGGAGACGGGGTTAATAAATCTATTACCTCGACTTCTCGAGCAAAATCAGAGCTAGGGACTTGATCTTTCACAACTTCAACTTCAACTTCAGTGGTTAATGGTTTTTCTCTTGTCCATGGCTGTTGATCTCCATTGCCTCCTACTAACGCTGATAATTCCTTCTGAACCCGACTTTCCTTCTCAATAATGCTTGTATCAGTTCCTTCTGCTGTCTCTCCACTGGAAAGGCTAGGAACAATTGAGAATGATGTCCTTACTGGTGATGAACAAATGAAATCAAATGACTGTGTGTGATATACTCCACTAGTGGAAGAATCCCCTCGTTTTTCATTATCAGTAGTCGATAGTTTCTCTTTTACCCATGGTGGTGGATCTTCATCGGCTTCCACAGCATATGTAAACCACATGCCCCTCAAAGATTCCTTCCCAGCAGTGCTCGTAGCTGCACATTCAGCGGCCTCGACTGAGGTGGCCTTACTAGTTAGGGAATCAGTTGAAACTAATGACTCAACATTATGTACTCCAAGACCGGATGATTCTCCTAGTTTTCTTGTTCCATTTTCTTCAATGTGTTCAAATTGTTCATGAGAAGACTCATGAATGACGCTATGCAAATTATCTGCTGAAACAGTAACCCCTTCATTTGGATAGGTTTCCGAAGCAGTTTCATATGTATGACCAACTTCTTCATGTTCGTCTAAGTTATCAAAATCATCTTCGCATACAGACTCGTCTGGTCCAGTATAGCAGGGGAGCTCATCCATTGAGCAAACTTTAACTTTCATCTGCTCCGGCAAGCTTGGGCAACAAGCAGAATGATTTGTGTATTTCGTTGAGAAGTAGTTTACCGTGATGTTCAAGCTGATCAAATAACAGCATTACGCATTAGCTAACCACAAATTAATGATCTAAACAAAATGGTATTCAGCCGAGATAAAAGCAAACATATACCTCTGCCAGGCAGGGAGTGTGAGCATTGTATATGCAAGTTTGATCTTGTTGGCGACTCCAGAAAAAGATTTAAAAGTCGCAGCTGATTGCCTCACGGTCACTGATCCTTGAGGGTGCTGCCAGGCCCACTCAAACTGCAGGCATCAACCCATCAGAAAACATTTATATGGTAAGAACAAACCATAGGCAGAACGGTGTATTGTATCACATTATGTCTAAAATTTCCGCATTTAAGAGAAATCCGGCATTCTATCTCTCTTGCACTGCCTTCAGAGTTGACTTAAAACCACATTTATATATAGCACTTCATCACAATAAACTAAACTAAAGGTTTCCAACCATGGCCAAAGTTCATCTAGAGTGACAAGATATTCTGCTAGCAGCACTGTACTAAGATAATCAAACAGTAAAAATCAAGGTGGAACATAGTTTTTGAATCCAGCAAAACCTCTGGTTACAACAAAGAAGGTGGGAATCTGAGAGAATGTACACAAAAGAAAATCAACTAGGGCTAAATGATGCAACTAGTGAGATAGATAAAAAAAATATTTCAAGCATACCCTAACATTTTTCTACTCATCCCCAAAACCAGGGATGAGGTCCTAACGAGACAGTCTCCCCTATCAAAATTTCGAATTCTCTTATAATTTGGGTAATTTCTTGTATCTTCTATTGATAAAATGTTTTCGCTCCTCAAATTCGATAAGTTCGTCCCCTACATAAATTCCCTCCCTGCCCAAAAGTAATGCAACAGGAATACATTCATGTTATAAACAGCAGACTACACACACACATATGTGACCTGAAGAGCAGAAACACTTGTTGGAAAACCATGAATGCATAAAACCATCTCCCATGGGCGTTTGCTCTTTGTCCTCCAAGCACCGCTACCAATTTCCCCATTGTGCTGTCTAATCCGACGCCGTGGGTTCACAGTAAACCTGCAGTTGGGCAACACAGCCGTTAGATAAATAGTTCAAGCTGAACCTTAGAGAAACTGAAAATGAAAAAAAGATGAAATCTTTAATGGAAAAATACAAAACATTAGCACCCATTAACTTAGGAAGGAGAAAGAGTAGAATCTGACCCGATATAAGTGTGGCCTTTGTGACGAGGGCTGAGAGAGGTTAACAGATAACAAGCGAAGAACCCTTTTGGGGGATTGCTTTTATTTTCATCTCCAGATTCTATAATTTGTTCATCTGAATTCCGGCATCTGATGTTGTTTGTCCCTGATTTTCTCTGCTTGAAATATTCATTGATGGATTTCGAGTCTCCTGCTTTCTTGCTCCTCTTTGGAACAGCTTTCCCCCTTCTCATCGCTCTCGAACTTACCCAATTTTGAAATTTTAGTTTAGGGCTGAGAGAAAATGGGTTCGATTTCAACCGTTGTAATTTTTGTTTGGGTAAAATACAAATTGTCATCCCTAAGCTTTACTCTCACTCACATTTTGATAATAAAATTTTTAAACATTTTATTTTAATCATCTAACTTTTGAATTACTCTTGTTTTAATCATTCTGACTTAGTTATTAATATTTATATTTGATATAATATATTAATTAATATTTGTACCACTTAGGATTCGAATAAAAATAAATGAAAACTCAAATCATAACCTCCATGTCTAAACTCTAGATTCCAAATCACAAATGCCTCACCCACTTATTAGCGCCCCTTAATCATTTACCCTTTCGCTAGTGACTATTTTTCAGTGACATTCAGATCCTGAGATAACCAAAACTTAGCTTTTGGTATTATAGAGGGGTGAAAGGTTCAACTCCTATCACTTACATTTCTTTGTTCAATTTATTTTACTATAATCAAATGGTGAAAATAATATAAAATTAAGGAGATAACCTTAATATGGTGATGACACGTGTTACTATTTGATTTGAGGATTAAATTTTTGGGTAAACCATATCATTAACAACCTAACTATTGTACCTTTTCATTTTAATCATCATTTTTAAAATTTTGTCAATCAAGTCATCCAATTCTTTATCTGCGTACAATTAAGCCACATGTCATTAACATTTGACAGAATTGTTGATTTAGCAATTAATATTTAAGACTAAATATATAATTATACTATATCATTAACATGTATGTCTCCTCCTCCCTTAAATGTTAATGACAAGTGACTTTATTTGAACACTTAACTAGTTAAATGGTCTAATCAATATAATTTCAAAATCAGTGATCAAAATAAAAAAATGAACAATAATTAGGTGCGAAAATGGATTCGATTCCACCGTTTGAAATTTTAGTTTTTAGTGAATTACAAATTGCATAACTTAACTTTATTCTCACTCTAATTTCAGTCATTGAAGTTTAAAACATTTTAATTTAATCACTCAAATTTTGTATTACTCATGTTTTAGTGATTATGATTTAATTTATTAATATTTTCTATAATGTGATATATTCTATCAATATTTATACCACCTTAGGATTAAAAAAAAATCAAATCACAAACTCAACTTAAACTCAGAACTCCAAATCACAAATCTCCCACTCTCACTTTCGACGGTCTCGTCCACTTATCGACCTCCCTCAATCACCCAATCTTTCATCGACGACTTCATTTTCCCGTTGACGTTCAGGTCCTTAAATAACCAAAGTTTCGCCTTTGGTATTATAGAAGTATTATAAATGAGTAAAGGTTTAACTTTTTCTGTCGTTTAGGTTTGTCAACGACAGCTCAAAACAATCAAAGAAAGTGGGAGATGATAAGTTGGAGAAGGAGATTTAAATCAAATTGAATGAAAATGGTATCATCAAGGAAGAATCGTAGGTGGTTGCAACGGGTAAATTCATTTACGATGATTTTCTGACATAAAGAGTGTCATGTTGTATTTTGATAGGTTAGACGTTAATATATTTTGAAATTATTTGAATGATGAATATTATTCCCGTTGAAAAAATTAATAAACAATAGAATAAAATTGATGTATTTTAATAATAAGTTATGTCACTTGGTGAGCATACTTATTATTTGGTATAAAATTGCATCAATTCAATTATACCTATTAATTTTTCAACAAATCTCTTCATCAAAATGTCATAAACTTTTGATTAATTTCCTCTCCCCTATATATAAGCTAGTTGAGTCACAATCTTAAAAACAACTTTGAGACATAATTCACAAAGTTGAATTAGGAAATCATTTAGAAAATTCATTTCAAATTCGTTCTTTCCAGTGATAGAGAAATACATGATTGTGTTCGACTGATCACTACGGTTGTGCTTACTGCTGTGATCGTTTGTTGTTGTATCCTGTGAGACTGACGTCCAACGTTACTCAAAACACCGAGGAGAGGACGAATATGTCTTAAGGAAACTGTTCATACATGCCTCAACAAAAATCCTTCTTCGGTTTATCATACTCTACTCATCCGATTCATTGTCTAAATATGAGTAAATCAATTTCTTGCCTCTACTTTAAGTTTTATTTATTTTGCTTCGTTCGATTATATAATAATATTTATTTATTATTATTATTTTATCTTGGATTAACAATTTTGTCTAACAATCTTAACACATATCTCATATTTTATTTTATGATTCTAATCCGTACGAAATATTTTTGAGTTAATCTAAGCCATGCAACAATCGACCAGTGGGAAAATGAATTGATTTTGCTCAGTGATCGAGTCCGCATGTTTGGAATGTGAATCCATATAGATATATACATATATATATAGTTATAATCCCTCTATGTTTGGGGTTATAGCGCACAAAGTTTGGAGTTATTGCGTACAAAGCCAAGCGTCTTTCTGGTCAAGTTCCATGCCTATTGAACGGAGAGCAACTTAAGAAATCAATCAAATGTGGTGCTAATATGCGAAGTCCAGGTATGAAAGCATAATATAACTCGCGGGAAAGAACCACATCGAGGAGAACAATATCTTGGTTGGAAGCAATAATAATGGAAATCATCATCACTTTCTTTCTATCAGAAGGATTTTAATTATCGACTCTCGCTAATAAATCAGAGGTCCTTTTGTGGTGTTCCCCCCCCCCCCCCTTAATTTTCTATTTGATAGTGAAGACGAATTAAAGATACAAACGAAAGAAAGAAACGTGGATTACCCACCTTTGAGAGAAGCCCGACAGAGACTATTATGAATGGGGTCTTGGGTTCCATATTGATCCAAACAATGGAGATCAATCCAATCTGGTTTCTTTGCCGCATACAGAAATTGCAGAACAAGGGAATTGGAGGCAGTTGAATGAAGAATAAAATCTAATCAAGCAAAGGTACATTCAACTGCTATAATTCAGGAAATTGGTTAGTGGCATTTAATTAGTGCGCATGTACTAAATTTCCCCTTATTTAATACTTATCTTGTTCCTTACAATGATATTTTTCTTGGTGAGAAAAACAATAACAAAACAAACCAAGATTGGAAACTTCATGGAATTAAAGTGAAATTCCCCCATTGATTTGAAAAGCTATTCACATACAAGTTGGACATAATATCGAGTCCACTAACTTTTATACGTGTGAGGCACTTCTATACCAATTTGTCTACAAGCCTCGGTGTAGGATTACCCTATGATAAGTGTATGTCGATCAAGAATTCAAGGGGTAAGTATTTTTGTTTCGTGTTTTAATTTTATTAAATCATGGTTATTTATATGTTCTAAACTCGTCATCTTTCTTGAATTTGAACATAAATTTAAATAGTTGGTCCATCCATCTGTAAATTTAACCCCCCAAAAAAACTATTAAACCAAATATCAATTCATGTAAAAATAAAATAAAATAGTATGATATTAGAAGGGAACTTCGTCGTTTTGCTTGTTTTCTCATGATAAAAACAAGAGATAACCCATAATGACACTTGATTCAGTTTCATAAAGTTTTGTTTTTCTTTTTCTATATGATCAACAAGGATGAAAAGAGTGATGTTGATAAAGTCGATGACTTTATGTTGCCTGGTTTTCGTTTCCACCCAACAGATGAAGAACTGGTCGTATTCTACCTCAAGAACAAGATTCAGCACAAACCATTGCCCATTGAACTCATTAAACCTGTCGAAATTTATAAATATGAACCCTGGGATCTTCCAAGTGAGTTTCCATCCTCTGTTTGTCTTCCGAGAAACTTAATTGTCCCTTATTTTCTAGTTTGATGTTGCTTCTTAAAGAGTTTGAGCACATGTTTGGCTTCCAAGAAACATAATTTTCCCTTCTTTTTATAGTTTGATGTTGGTTCTTAGTTCTTCTTACCCTATTTTTGTACAAGCAGAGCTAGCTGCGTCAGGGGAGAAAGAGTGGTAGGGTTTTGGAAAGCTACTGGAACAGATAGGCCTATCTACTCATCTGATGGCACCGAATGCATTGGTTTGAAGAAGTCTCTTGTGTTCTATAGAGGCAGAGCTGCCAAAGGGATGAGAACCAATTGGATGATGCATGAATTCCAGCTACCTTCGATGTCGGACTCGACACCGACATCCAAGAAGCTCGTAGTCAGAACCTTTCCTGAAAATGTAATGATCCTTTAATCATGAAATTTTCCGATGTTTGATTATGAACTGTTTGATTGTCCTTGTTTCCAACAGGATGCATGGGCTATCTGTAGGATATTCAAAAAGACAAGTTTCATGGCACAAAGAGCTATTTCCCACACTTGGTGCATCCTGGACTCAGATCGGATCGGAGAACGTTTCTTCCACGACCGAAATCGGATCGACGGTGCCATTAAGCAACACCGGTGAACTACAAGGCTTGCATGCCTGTTTTTTGGCTCTAGATGTTCCTTCGTATAAATCGTTCCACCAGAAAGTCTACAGGCCATCTCCATTTCATGTCTCAAATGGAGACCATCATAAAAACTTGATGTTGATGTCTGGTTCATCCCCCAAGTGCACCGTGGTTGCCTCTTCCATGCTGTTGAGTCCACCGATGATTACCGACGTTACCAAGGCCGATTTTGGAGGACAACAATAACAATACAGTGGCTTCTGGATCGGATTGCCCCATGAAATGCATGGTAATGGAGGTGTACAGGAAAGAAGAACAAAGAATTCGGATTCAATCCCCAACTATAACCATTTATCGATGGGGTTTCCTTTCAGATTGTGTCCAACAATGGTAGATTCATGGGATAATGTGTTGGAACTAGTATGAACAGCATACATGTTTACCGTATTATTGTACAGTTTTCATGTATTCCACCTACACATCCTAGGCTGAATATCTTCTCCTTCGAAACCCAAATGCTCTTTAGATTTTCGTATCGTTTGGATAAAAATATCATACTCGAAAAATAAACTCGGATGAAAAGAAAAAAAAACAGTTTAAAAACAGATGAATTTTTAATCCCTATTTTCATGGATCAAAATAAAACCACAGTAAAAACAATAACTTCGAAATCGATTCGTCATCAAGTGAACAAGCGGCGTACTAACTGGTATGAAACTACCTAATGGGGAAAATACTGAAATTCAGTTTCCACATTTCATCAATCACCATTATAACAAACAAAATTTCTGGCAGGTAAATCAAACGAACCAAACACAATTCAGCTGCATCAGCAATTAAATGTCTAGCTCTTTGAGGATTGCTTTTCCTTTGCCTTCTGGATTTTCAGAACCTGCTTCACAATCTTTTGCTCTTCGACCAAGAAGGCTCGAATTATCCTTGGATAATAAAAAAGAGAGAGAAATAAGATTCACATTGATCACTTCGAACAAAAAACACCAATAAAAAACCATTTCAGTCACAAAACAATGCACATAGTTTTGCCTTTCTCTAATGGCACTGCCTGACAAAACACCGCCATAGGCACGATTCACAGTCCTTCGGTTTCTATGCAATCGAGACCGCTTGTATTCAGCAGGTCTCAAGTGAGGAATCTGCAAACAAGATGTATAAGAAAACCATGAAAACAGGCTCAAGACTTTCTAAATCGAATCGATCAATCACATGTTCAGAAAGACCAAAAAGCAACCATCGGGACAAGCAACATAAAAATGGTATATAGCTTTTTTAGAAAAACACACTTTCTGCACTGGTAAAAAAGGGTATACATTTCTACCAGCTAAACAGCAAGGATAATAACATCAAGCAACAGTCTGTAAACTGCTTCAAATGGATATGCAACAAAGCTTTCCCCGTAAATGAATCCGAAACGACCACAATGATCGACATTTATCACCAGTTCCTAATTTTTTTTTTACTAACACATCAGTATTTTTGGAATTCAAACAATCAAAACAGACATAATACACTCTACCAGCATCAGCACTACCTTGGATCATAAAATCATGAAATAGAACTAATCTTAACAAAATCATTGATTCATATTTAATTCAAAACAGAAAATTCAATAAGAAAACATGAAAGTGAACATAAACAGTATCATCAAAATAATCATTTAATCTACATTTCATACTTATTTGGTTAACCTAACAATAAGAATTCAGATTCCTAACTAAAAACTTCAACTTACACCCTGAATTCGCTTTCCAGTAACGGGGCACTTGGGTCCACTAGTTCTCTTTTTAGTAGTCTGATAAACCAATTTCCCACCTTCAAAAAGAAAGACCCACCAACATTTTCATACAGAACAAGAAAAAATGGACGACAGCAGAGTAGAAAAAGCGGCATCGTTTTCGAAACTTCAAGAGTGACCGGGGGTCTTAACGACACGGTGTTGATTCGATTTGGTAGCATAGCTATGGCGAGTGCGGTAAGTGAGCCTTTGAACCATTTTCTATTGGGTTTTATTTTCTCAGGTACGTTTTCAGAAAGAAACGCCAGAGACAGATGGTAAGGCCAAAGCGGCTATGAATTGGAGAAGATGATATATAAATATGGATTCTTTTGTATGTAAGCCCTAAACCGTACGATTATAATTTGGCCTTCTACGGTCAACAGTTAAAGTTACGGATAAATTATAAAATTGATCAATTTTATTTAAGTTTTATCTTCTCAATAATTCAAAAATTATAATATTTAATTATTTTTTATTTTTATTTAATCAAGAAATAATCATTTAAAGCTAATTGTCATTAAACATTTAATAATTTGTTAATGCGACATAATAAATATATAAAATTAAAAAATAAATACATAAATAATCATTAATATTTTAAATAAATTTTCATTTTTTCATTTATATTTTAAAAATAAAAAATTAAAAAAGAAACAGGGAAGTAATTAATGTGAAGAACCTTGACAGATAATGACTTACATATGGAGAGAAGGGAAGGATTTAGATATACTTTCAGATTTGCATTTTCTTTTTTGTTTAGGTCATTAGTAGTACATTAGTCAATTAATTAGTTTGTCTTCTCCCAATGATAAGATGAATTTAAGTAATATATTTGCAGTGATTTTTGAGTTTCTCATATATTCTCTACATTCCTTTTGTTATTAATCTCAGTGGAGGAAATGAAAATATATTTAAATATTAATGATCATTTATTTATTTTATCTTTTATAATTTTATATATTTATTGTATCATGTTAACAATCCATTAATATTCTAACGGTAGTTAAACCCTCAGTGAGCACATCTTAATTAAATAAAAATGAAAGTTACAAAATATTATATTTTTTGAATTCAGTACGAAAAGTGTATAAAACTTAAACGAAAGTAATCAGTCCTGTAGTTTACCCTAAAGTTATTTAAAAATAAAATAATTGAAATATTCCAAAACATTCTAATTGAGTCATAAAAACTATTGAAGGGTCTATACGAGTGATCTCTTATATTTTTGGTTTATCTGATATTGGTCACTGATTAAAAAAAGTAATTTTGATCTTTTACGTTATCGGTCCATTCGATTTTAATCATTCACCGTTAACTTCAGTTAACCTATTAATAAAAATTTGAGCTGGTAATTAAAAAAATTAAAAAAAAATCCACAGTAGTTTCTTCAATGGTTAATTATTCAATTGGTCCCTTAATCTTTAGTTTTCATGTAAAAGAAATATTTTTTTCTAAGCTTAAAGGTTCATTTCTCTCCCAATGATGCCCAACAAGTCTCAAGAGATCAAATACGACCTTAAATCGACCCAAACTCAATCTTAGTTATTTAAAGACTATATATATAATTTAGATAATATCCTATTTTACACTATTTTATTATTTATTTTCTTACTCGGTATACTAGTTTAGTTTTTTTTATTATTATTATAAATCCGGGATAAGTACAAGGTAATAACTGTATAAATAACTCTCAACTATCGTACTCCTGGCATTCTAGTGCTCGAGTTTAAACTCAGGATTTCAAGGAAAGAAAACAATTCCTTTATCACCGAAATCGCTGACATCCTAGTTTAATTTAAATATACTTTTTCATAATCTATTTTAATTTTATCATTTTAGTAGCCTATAGTCCCCTCATTTGTATTTTAAATTATTTAAAAAATAATCAATATATTTTTCTAAAGTTTGTTTTCAAAGTTCTTTTTGTGAATTATGTAGATGCTCATTTTGTCCGGGGGTTCATTCGAGTTTTGCTCGGGTTTATATTACATTATTATTAATATATGGTTGTGTTTAAAATTATGTAGGGAATAATTATCAATAATTATTTATGGGACTAGCCATATATATTATTATGGAGATATTTGAACATTATTAAACATATATATATATACGTATAAGCATATATAAATAATTAAATATATTTATGTACATAAAATACTAATGCACTAAAATTTTGCAGGCCCTAATTACAAAACTATCCCTCACTTGACCTAAATAGAGGCCCGAACCAGAGTAGACCTAAACCAGTTGCAAGCCCAAATGTTACTGCCCAATTAAAGAAAACCCTAAACCCAGTGGGGTTTTCTGTTAGAAGACCCCGCGCCGCCAGGAGCCTCTACCGTTGGATCTGATGAGATCCAACGACCAGAACGCGAGGACTGTTAGGGTTTTAGGTCATCAGTCTCCAGCGCTGCACAGTAGAGGCCATTGGATTTGAGTTATGCATCCAACGGCTCGGGTGAGATGACATTAAACTTAGGGTTTTTAAACCCTAAAGATACATACGCAGTTGATTCTCGGTCGTTGGATCTGTTTCCAATATCCAACGGCTCGTAGCACTCCAACGATCCCCAATTTGCGCGTGAGACGCCCTGAAGGCATCCCATCTTCCCAAACGGTCAGATTTCGTGTGTATAGAACACGTTTGTCACTCCAACCCGAGCCTCCACGCACATGCCAACGCCTCAACCACCTCGGATCGTACCAGTAACAAAAAATAACAACTCCAGGACCAGGGCAGATTCCATGGCCACGCAGAGATACCTGCGATGCATGAAAAAAAAATAAAGAAATCAACATAAAGAGAGAAATCGACAATAAGAGAGAGGGAGAAAAAAAAAAGAAAAAATCAATCATTTTCTCATCAGCAACAAATATAGCAAAAGAAAGAAACCAAAAAGAGATTTTTTCTCGGTTTTATGACCAAATCACCAACCAACCAAAAAAACAGATCAAAAGAGAAAGAAACTCACCTTCCCGATCGGAAAAGCGTCGTTATCTTCCCCTAAGAGTCGCCCAGGGTTAGCTTTTCGTGCTCCTTAGCCACTGTCGAGCAGTTTTTTAGGTGTAAGTATTCAGTTTAGGAAAGAGTAAGGTCTCGAGATCTAGGTTTTTTGAGCGAGTGTTGGCTGAGGTTTGTCATAGGTCGAGTTTAGAGCCTACTGACTCCTCGTCGGAGCCCCCAGGGAGAGAGGCCACGGTGGCCGTTGGTTCCGCTGGGGTTGAGAGGAGTGAACAGAGAGAGGGTAGAGAAAATGGGGGTTAGCAAAAAGGAGGCTGATACAAATGGGGCTAACGTTTAGTTTTTTCCCAAAGTATCATATATATATGCTCATCGGAACGACGTCATTTGGTAGGTCTAGGTCATCCGTTTTGGCATGGTTTATTCACTGTATGGGTCACACAATGTTGTATTTTAATCCATTTTAGTCCTCAAATCGAGGTTTTCATGTTTCTAATTTTGTCTCCATATTTTACACGTGTTACATTTCAGTTCTAAGCCATGTTGTTTTAAGTTTTTGTTACTTTATATTTTTGACACTCAAGTTTTTGCATGTTTCATTTTAGTTCATATAAACTATTTATTTGTATTTCGTATTGTTTAATTTCCTGGCAAGTTATTTCAAGATTTTTTTTATTTTAGTCCTATGCACTATCATGGTTCTATTGCAACTTTAGGGTCTGGAATATTTAACTTTCATATTAAGTGTTCGATCTTTCAATTAAGGGTAATACTCTTCCATTTTAAAATCGTTGTAAGGTGATTGTCTTAATTTATTGGAAAGTCACTTTCGATGATTTTAAACTGAAAGCGTATCCCAACAGTGAAACCCAAAAAATGATTCCACACCTAAAAATTGGGAATGAGAGAACAAGAAATGTTCGTTCATTTAAATTCTTTGAGAAAATATTGTTAGAACTTATCAAAGGTTTGATCTTGATGTCTTTAAATAATCGAATATTCATCTTCTTTCTAAAAGGTTTGTTAATTTTTAATTTAATTTGTTAATTTTGTGCATTTGAATATTGCAATGAAACCTTAATATTTCTTTATTTCGATTGGAGTAAAAATCGATTGTCTCAAGGTATGAGAGGTCGATTTTTCTTGATAGGAAATAATTAAATATTACTCGTTTTCGTTCTAACATTCACAAATGTTGTTTTTAAGGGATCATAAATTAAATTAAATTCGAACTTATAAATTTTATTGCAAAGAAAATTAATTAATCAACTAGGTACGGATTTAGGGCGTTGTGGAGTGCTAATCCTTCCCCACGCATAATCGACTCCCGAACTCAATTTTTTGGTACGCATACAGTAAATTTGTTGTTTTAATTAAAATCAATATTTTTTATTAAAATGAAAAATATGTTTTTGGGTGCCTAATCACACCCTAATCAAATATTGGTGGCGACTCCTCAAACCATATTTTATTTTATTTAAAGGGAATCCCAAAATTTTTGAAGCGATGGATTTTTTAAACTCACATTACCTTTTTATTAAAAAATAACCAAAAAATAATTAAAAATGTGTTTTTTAAAATCTCGAAAAATCGTTTCGAGAGCTTGGTGACTTCGTTGGAGATTTTTTTAGAGAGCCAGACCGAAAGTTAATTAATTGATTTTCTTTGCAAATGAAAATTACAAGTTCGTTTTAATTTAATTTTTGATCCCTTGTTTGGTTTTAAATAATTTTTTGTTTGTAATTTGATTAACCACTAAATAGTTGTACTGACTTGTTTGCTAATGTTTTTAGATTAATTGTGTGTTTTAAAGGAATTTGAGGATTGATTTGTGTGTTGTGTGATTGTTTGTTTTTCGCTTTTTCTCACACACTGTACAGTTGTATGATCATAACATGAGCTAAACCCCCGCTCTATCCAATTTAAGTAGGAGTGAGAAACTACTCCCTCGTGTGGTTTTCACCTCCGCATGAGATAGTGAATCGATCTTGGAGCTCACGCCTTATGGTCCTCGTGATGGTATTAACCTTCGTACGAACATAAGGAGGTGTGTTCTCTCGAATTAAACTCGGTCCAAAAGCTTGTGATGGGCCAGGATTGAGGGTATGGCGGCCCAAGGGAGCACCGACAAGGACAAATAATTCGAGAACCTGTTACTTTAGAGCCGAACCCAACATATAGTAAATTTAGAAATCCGAGCCTATTTAGAGCTTGAACCGAGCCTTAAAAATCATGTGAGGAGGGTACACAAGGAAAAACTCTTTTGAGTCTTTTAATTTTTGTAGTATAATTTACTTTCTAAATAAATGTATGAGAACTAGAGATCGTGTGGTTAGGTTTATTT